AAAAAATCCTACGATGAGAGGGACAAGCGGTCTCGTAGGCGGTCCGGGCTTTCTTGGGACCTTCTCCACTAAACAAAGCCGTTACCCATAGTGCAGCTCGATAGCCGTCTGGGATTTCTATTAGCCTTCTTCAAGGAACAGCCATGTTTAGCTCCCTACGGGAGAAGACGTTTGAAAAGAAGCTCAAACATATGCTGGGATAATTTCGAAACAATCAAACCGACAACAACAGTAGTCCTCATTTTCTCGCCCAACCCCCAAGAATTCTAAAGTGAATCCTCTTACTCTGGCAGCCTAGAATGTTCGTTCTTTTTTAGACAACCGGAACGGAGGACAGCGCTAGTCGCTTGAGAACTAGCACGCTACAAGGTGGACATCGTTGTACTCAGCGAGACGCGCCTATCCAGATAAAGCCAAGTGATGGAGGAGGGTGTCAGCTACACCTTCTTCTGAAGCGGCCGCCCAAAGGCAGATGGACGCGACACTGGTGTCACCTTTGCCATCCGGAAAGTCATTGTAGGACAGCAGTTCTGTCCGCTGCTGTGCGTCAACGATCGTCTCATGGCCCTATAATTGTTATTTGGGTAACACAATTAGCCGCCGTCGCCAGCGCCTACTCTGTCTAATAACTAGCTCCAAAGCGGCGAGTAGTAAGTTCTATGAAGACCTCTATACCCTGCTGTTGACTGTGCCAAGGACGAACAAACTGGTAGGCCTTGGTGAATTTAATGTTTGTGTCGGGACAGACCATGCTACCTGGAAGGGAGTGCTTGGTCACTATGAACTAGACGACTGCAACGACAACGGCCTCCTCCTTCTGTGAACCGGCACAGAGTTCCGTATCCTCCTGGGTAACTCCTTTTTCCGTCTTCCGACGCTGGAGAACTCATCACCCCAACGTTCTGGACGGCCTCAGACACACAATTCGTTGGTAGCTGGGCTAGTTCGGCGACAAGGACGCAACAATCAGCAGGCTACTTGCTGAGTATAAAAGCTGAACAAATGCCTACATCGACACCCGGACCGAGGCAAACAAAGCGGCTTTCTTCATATGTCGCCGTCGGGTTCAGCAGCGGCTGTAGGAGACGGGAAGATCAAGGAAATCCAGGATACGCGGACCACAATGAAAACAAAGGCTCAGCTCAGCAAGCATGGTTTCTACGACAAGAGGTCCTGCCTTGCAAATCTGCTTACATCGTTCGAACGTCGGTCAAAGGCAGTGGACGATGGACATTCAATTGATCTACTCTGACCTCAGCATAGCTTTAACTGCGTTCCACAAAAGCGCCTCACCACAAAGACATCAGACTTAGGTACCAGAGAAAACTTCCTGAACTGGATTAAAGATTTCGTAACTGATCGTAGACAAAGGATTACTGTGGGTGGCTACTGTTCAGGATGGGCGTCTGTTAATAGTGGAATCGCACGAGGATCAGCTCTTGGGCCGCCCCGATTTATTATCTATGGAGCTGATCTAGCACAGGAACTGACATCAGATATAGCGCTCCCTGAAGATGACCTTAAGCTCTAGAGGATGAAAAAAAGATGAGAGATACTCCAGATATTTCGAGAGAATATAGAAAGTCTGCAGACATGCAGCGAGCACTGGTACATGAAATTCATCGTCGACAAATGCGTCATAATGCACATAATGTCAGCGAGACGGTGAAGAAATGTACCTTTACGAGGACATCTAAAAATCGACCACTATTAATCGTTATAGTGCAAAATGATCTTCGAGTGTTCGTCAAAGACGATTTAAGTACAACAACTAAGAGAGCAATAAGCGGAACGTTCGTCCTACTAGATACAGATATCTTCAGTGAGGCGCACGAAGCATTTGTGCGGTCACACTTGAAATATGCGGTAGGGCTTGGCGGCGGTGGCTTCGAAAAGACATAGATATTCTTGTAGGTGTACAACGACGTGCTATAAAGCTTGTTCCTGGACTTAAAGAGTTGACGCACGAACAGCGTCTGGCCATCTTAAACCGCTACCCCCACTATTATAAACAAGACAAATATGACCTCATACTAACGTTTCAGCTGCTACGACAACTTGATCTTGGGGTGGACCGGAAATATTTCTTCGAGAAGTTACTGACGAAGTGTCTTCGACGTCATGGTTGCCAACCCCAAAAAGAACTGTGCCGCACAAATCGGCGTTACCCATAATCCCGCAAGGAATCATTCGACAGTTGAATTCTTTACCAACGTACTTCTTGCATTTAACCAACGTGAATGTGCTTAAGAAGCGTTTGGATACTCGTCTGTTGAAAGCCAACCAGAACTCCCCAATCCTCGTCTTGTATGTCATCGCTACAACCGTCAACAAGTTAGTACCTTGATTTCAATAACCCATTTTGTTTGCATTATCTGTAACACTGTAGAATTTATTGAGCGCAATTGAAGTTATTATGTCGTTCTTTGTTATTTAGCAAGTTTGCCAGCGTTTAACACTGCTATTTCACCGTTATTTTATGCATTCCGCATGTACTTACTTGTCCTTGTACTTGATACGGCTGCGATCATGCCTGATCTAGCCGGCCTCGATGATGTCCCGAATTGTACCTCTCCACGCGTGACGATCCGCGGCAGCAGATCTAGACGGCTCAACCCATTCCCTTCGCCAACGACGGAGACCGAATACCGAAGGTCCAAGAACCACCTCCATGTCTTGACGGACAGTGTCGAGCCAGGTGTTTTGAACTGACCCCCTCTTCGACGCCTCCAATGGGGCAACGGTGCGGGATCGAGGGCAGTAACACTGAGCTCCTGAGGTGGACGACGAAGAACATGCCCGAACCACCTCAGTCGTCTTTCTTGGATGGCCTGAGTTATCCTCGCGATGTTGTCGCAGCGAGCGCGGACTATCTCATTTGAGACGAAGTCGGTTAACTTCACTCGATGGATGATCCTCTAGCAGTGGTGGTCAAATACCTCCAGTTTTCGCTCATCCGCCACGCGCAAAGCACAGCATTCACAATCGTAGAGAAGGATAGAGCGGACAGATGAACGGTACACGCGAATCTTAGTGGCGGTGGAGAGGTCACGTCGGTTCCACAGGCATTTCCGAAGGCTTGAAAAAACCCAGCGGGCAGCATCGATTCGGGAGGCAATGTCATCCTTACTCTGTCCATTAGGCAGCAGCCGCGCCCCGAGGTATTTAAAACTGTCCACTTCTTCGAGTTGACAGCCATCAATCCCCAGGGGTGCCTTCTCCTGGACAGGGATGCAGCTTGAGAATACTTTGGTCTTCCCAGCGTTTATGGACAAACCGACTGATTTAGCGACCTCGTTCACCCGTGACACCATAGACTGCAGATCACCAAAACTTGAAGCAAGTAAGGCGATATCATCGGCTTAGTCGAGATCAGTCAGTCGATGTCCGGGTGCAAATTCAACACCGTCACTGTCGCGTAGGGCCCTCCCGAGGATCCAGTCAATAGCGTAGTTGAACAGTATGGGTGACAGGATACAACCCTGTCGGACGCCAGACCGAATACCGAACGGTTGGGAAAAATTGTTACGTACCAGGACTCTCGCAGTAGTGGAACGATAGTAGGCCTTGATCATGGCGATGATTTTTGCCGGTACACCATCTAGCACCATTATCCGCCACAGGGACTCACGGTGAACGGAATCGAACGCGGCGGCAAAGTCAACGAAGCAGACGGCCGTCGGTTGTTAGTAGCTATGGCGAAATTCGAGAATGCGCCTCAGTGTGAATATCTGATCTGCGCATCCACGTCCAGCACGAAATCCGGCTTGGTTGGGCCTCGTCCTTGAGTCACGCACAGCCTGGAATCGTCTGAGTAGGACAATAGCGAAGACCTTCGCAGTAACGTCGATGAGACTTATGCCGCGGTAGTTCTCGCATCTTGTCTTATCTCCCTTCTTGAGGATAGTTACAAGGATGCCTAAGCCCCAGTCATCAGGAACAATCTCGTCTCTCCACGCTCGTTCACTCACCTCATGGAGCCAGGGCGCCAGAGTGTCGACACAAGACTTAGAGATTTCAGCGGGTATACCGTCCTCTCCGGGTGCCTTACTGTTGCGCAACTTTCGTATGGCATCGGCGACTTCTTCCTCGGAGGGGGGATCGCATGGCACTGCATAGGTAGGAGAGGGAAGAAACTCCGCTGAGGAGGAGAACAAGGGCGATGTAGGTTGAGCGTCGAAGTTGAGATGGTGCTCAAAGTGCTCACGCCAGCGCTCGACTTTGGCCGAGTTGTCAGCAATAAAGCCGCCGTTCACATCGCGAACAGAGTCACTAAGCGTAGAGGGCTTACCGCTAACTTGGCGGATCAGACGATAGAGCTTTCGAGTGTCACCAACGTTCGAGGCCTGTTCCATGGATGTCGCTATTTCAGCCCAATATTGTTTCCGGTCATCCCTGGCCGATTTTGCCGTCATCTTCCGAATTTGGCGGAAGTAGTCATCGTTGCGGGACCTGGCTCTAGCCGTCTGAGCAGACAACTGCAGGGTTCTTCCGCTGATCCAGTCACTGCGGCGTCGCTGGGTGTATCCAAGGATTTCCTCAGCTGCCCCATAGACTGAGGTCTTCAGTGACAACCACTGGTTACTGACTTCTCCGTCGGCTCGGGCCGTAAAACAGGTCCGGATTTCTCTGCTTAGGGCCTCGGCAGTGCTGGCTTGCCGGATTTTTGCGACATTGAGGCGTCTAGGACGTGGCATTTTTGGTGCGGATGAGAGATGAACTTTCAGGCGTGTACGGACGAGGACATGGTCCGACCCATGGGCGTTACCAGTCTCGGCACCACGCATCGATCTGCTATCGTGAACCCAGCTGCGGAACCTTGAGCTGACTAGTATGTAGTCAATCTGACTGGCCGTACGACCGTCGTTTGAATACCAGGTCAGCAGATGTTTTTTGCGATGCTGGAAACATGTGTTGGTGACAAGCAGGCGGTTTAGATCAGCGAAGTTCAGCAATCTCTCACCATTTTCACATCGGGAACCAAGCCCAAAGCGGCCAAGAAGATGACTGGTTGTGGGGTCGTCAGGTCCAGTTCGACCATTCCAATCGCCAGCAACAATCAGCAGATCGCGGCGAGGCAGTCTTTCAACTATCGCTCGCATGTCGATATTACCTGTAAATCTTTGCAACTTAACTGCTCTTTATAGAGACTTGTGTATTTTTTTACGTGTTTTCAAGGGCTTCTCTCATTTTCTCCAAATGCATTGATTTGTTTTGATTTTCATTGAATGCTGTCGTCCACCCGGATTCAACGATCTATACACACGATGTCCTCTTCTCGGACGAATACGCCACTACGGAAGCCGCCATGCAGGGATGCAGTTACCTCCTCCACTCAGACTGCGAAATCGTGCTGAGCATCGACGCAGACAAAACGGTTGTCGTGCATCAACTAGCAGTATTGGAAAAACACACCACGTACAGTGACAACGTGAATGGTATCTGACTCACATCCGTGAACGAGTTATCTTACTACGGCCGCATTGCAAACAACACCAAGATAAGGGGCGAAGTGACTCACAGGTTCTGTAATGCCAGCTATCTGACTTGTTTATAACCGCCATGGACTTCGACACAAGACGAAGCATAAAATGTCCTGACAGCGATAATATACGCAAAGCAAGTCAGGAAGCTGAAATAATTTCACCTCTTCAGTTACCAGAGTATTCGAGATCTGAGGCGTCAACACAGGATCTCAGACACGGAAATTCTGGAACGGGTTGGCATGCTCAACATTCACGCCACGCTGTGACAACTGCAATTACGATGAAGTGGCCGCCTCCTGAGAACAGATGGCGAGCACCTCTTCTAAGGCGATGTTGCTACTGGTGCTTGTTAACAAGATGTACAAGAGCGACGCTACATATACAACTAAGAACCTGTCTCAGGCAACTGCAAATCAACCCGGAGGGTTAGATCGTAGTTGGTAGCCCTACCGGAACGGAAAACTCCCAGCTACCTGCCTTACGGGACCGGTGATAATAGGGACTATACGGGCGGGGCAATTGAGTGGAGGCGTAAATGGCGGTTGTAGTGTATGCCTGGAATTGATGCACCTGTTAAAGTGGCAGCCTAATTTAAATAAGGTGAAAGATGCAAGAAAGATATAAAAATGAGCAGGCATACTTAGTACGGTATGCGGAATAAATGCATCCTAGCCCCAGATATGAAAGAATAACAAGTGAAGGCGAACAACCAATAGGAAGAAGGCAGTGTGTCTTAAGGTAATTCCGCAGTATGTGTGATAGTACTCTAACCGACAGAATGGACATGAGAACACGAGAGTCAAGCATCGGCACGCAGGACGCCACAACGCAAGCGAGGTAAGACCTTAATGCGAAAAATATGTTTGGGCGGAAAATAAAATTCGCAAGTAATAGTTTATTGCCACTTTGGTTACAGTTAGGTTTCAAACTATGGCAGTTGTTGTGTGGTATACGCGAATGGTGTATTATGCAATGTAAACAGGAATTATCACTCTGTATATGAAGTTTCACTCTGTTCTGCTTGCGGAGCCCAGTCTCTTAGAAGGCGAAGGAAAGCAGGACAACAAGTGGGTAGGCCGACAGATTATTCGCGGATCCTGGAAATAATCCAGTTCCCCTACCTGGTGCAGTATCTCCTACAGAAAGGACTACTGACCTGTAGGGTGTTATGTAGATGCCGAAAGGTCATGCCATTACAAATACTGCGACAGCACACCGACGGTTATGCCTTCAGGTTAGATCTGTGTACTGTGGTATGCAGACTGAAGATGTGCCCGTTGTGGTGATAAGAGAGCACTGAGAGTGGGCTCAGTGTTTGAGGGAGGCACCTGTCACTGCCTAAGGCGATGAAAACCTGCCTTGCTTTCATTGAAGGCACTGGGGTGATCAGATGTGCAACCGCAGTTGGCATAAATCACAATACGGCAGTGGAGTGGTACGGTGTGTGGCAAGACGTGTGTACAAAAGCCCTCCTGCAAGAGGTCAGTCAACTTGGTGGACCGGACGTCGAAGTCCAAGTCGACGAAACGATGATTACGCGGCGCAAATACAATGTTGGCCGACTTAAAAAGCAGAACTGGATTATAGGTAAGTGAACAGCATATCATTACTCCATGATAGGCATGTATGATTCGTCCAAAAAGAAAGCCCTTTTCGAGCAGGTGAATGATCAAAGCTGGCCGTCGCTAAAGGCTGTCATAAAGAAATGGATTGCGCCAGAGAGTGTGATAGTTACTGATCAATGGAAGGGCTATACGCGTCTGGTGGATGAAGGATATCGGCATTTAACGGTCAATCATTCCGTTATTTTTGTCGATCCTATTACTAAGAAGCACATCAACGCAATAGAAGCCTACTGGAGTAGGCTGAAGAGAAAATCGCGCGAGCGCGGTCCCATCCGTAGAAGGAAAATCTGGGCCCACGTAGACGAAGCCCAGTACCGCCTCTGGTATGGCGTGAAGGCAGACAATTTGCCTCAGGCATGGGAATTGTTCTTGAAACATATAGTGGAGGCCTAGCGGTTGGTGACCGTACTTGTACAGCGGAAGATGAAACGCAGCTGACGCAGAGGTAAGCATCGGTACTGCTGACATAACCCATCATGTTAGCTAAATACAGGCGCATTGATTGCCGCCCCAGTCCAGTCCCTAACGGGCGGACAAACCCGAAGGAAAGACGAAGCCGAGTGAACTCAATGAAACCCAAGTTATATGTGGGCCCTTTTTAGGTCAATAGTGAATGCACGGATGGATGCGAATATGCGAATCCCAGGTTCTTGTTGAAAAGAAGATGAAGACCCGATCTCCGGGACAGTAGGTTTATTAGTCTGAGCTTTCGGTCTCGTACAGGAGGCCATCGTCAGAGACTGTGAGAATGCGACATCAAATGAGCGGTTTTTGTAGCCAAGCCACGAATGGGGGGGGGGGAGAGTGATATGGGTGCAGAGGGTGGTATTCGCGATAAGTTGAGTCCCACGCCGTCTCACGGTGGCGTGACTGCGTGCACCCTATGGCTGGAAATTGGGTCTCGCCTCTTGGCTGCGGGAACGGAGCGCGTGATACCAGGGGGTATGTCCACGTGCCTGTTGATAGAGTTGGTGTCAGACACCCAGGCCTCTAACAGTTATCGTCCTGTCTTAATGTTGGCCCGCGCCACTATCCGTGTGCTCCCGAAGTTGAATTCGTAGCCTTCCTTTAGGGGTGAGTGGCGACCTGAGACAACGGGTCGTCTCTCCGGACCGCCCGTTTGTGCTCCGTTATTCGTCAGCTAAGTCGTCGTCCGGTTTGTCCTGTGTAGTGGCGAGGGCAGTCCCGACATGGGATCTGATAGACGACACCCGATTGTTCTCCACGTCTAGGCGCTCCTTCACTTGCATGACTTTGCTGCGCATGGTCGCTGTCGGACGGTGAGCGATACCCACGCCGAACTCTCCAGCGATACTTTCCATCGCTTTGGACACGTTCTTTATATATGGTAGAGGGTGCCAGAGTGTTGGCGGCTCTCCTCCGTTTGTTCGCCGTGGGCGCATGCGGAGGCAGCGGCTGACGAATCTGTTCGGGTATCCATTCCTTGCCAGTTGGTCCCGAAGATGCCGAAGTTCTCATACTCGTCCCTCGGGTTCACTGCAGTGCGTTTTTACCCTTTGGAAGAGTGTCCTAACACAGCTGCGTTTATGCGCCATTGGGTGGTTACTGTGGTAGTTGAGAATCTGAGTCGTGTTAGTCGCCTTTTTGTACACCGTGGTGTTGAGTTCGCCGTTGGGTGTGCGTGTGACGAGAACGTCAAGGAAAGGCAGCTGTTCGTCATGCTCTTCTTCCCCTGTGAACTGAATGTCCGGGAAGATGCCGTTGAGCAGGTCTTGGAAGTCGGCCGGCCTGCTCCTTTCAATTATAACGAACGTGTCGTCCACGTACCGGCGCCAAAATGCAGGTTCATAGTGCTCGAAGGCGACTTTTTCCAGTTCCTTCAGGACTAGTTCTGCAACCAGGCTGGATATTGGCGAACCCATCGGCGTTCCTTTGATCTGCTCGTATGTTCTGCCATTGAAGGTGAAGAAGGTTTGTTGGCAGAAAGCAAACTTATCGCGAATGCCACCCTCTGCACCCATATCATTCTCCCCCCCCCCATTCGTGGCTTGGCTACAAAAACCGCTCATTTGATGTCGCATTATCACAGTCTCTGACGATGGCCTCCTGTACAAGACCGAAAGCTCAGACTAATAAACCTACTGTCCCAGAGATCGGATCTTCATCTTCTTTACATAGTGAATTCATTTCTATTTCAATTGCTGGACTCCTTTCCTATGCCTGTTCAACTGACTTGGGTACGAGTACGTGTGCAAATGGGGTGAGGACGTATTCGCTAAGTAGGTGCACCATCCAACTGGATGAAACCCGACAAAACGATTCCGCCGAAGCGCGGAACTGGAAGACGAGGTTGAGTCGATAGAAAAAACCGCAAGCTGCCCCCGCAATTGATCGCTAACGAACTAACCTGCAGCCGGCGCTGATCGCAAGGACGGAAAGTAAACACTCCGGGTCTGAGTGACGTATGAAACGCCTTGCTGTTGTAGTCTGAACCCAAGAGGTAGTAAGTGCGCGATGTGGTATGTGAAGTGCGCCCAGTTCAAACCCAGCAGTGTCGAAGCTTGGGGGGGGGGTTCGTAGTGCCTTAACGTGGAAGTGAAGGAAAGGATCGCTAACTGGCCATGGCGGCGCTTACAAGGCGTCCCAGTTTTCAGCCAAACCCCTGCGACCAAATACAACTGGGCTGTTCGTAAAGGCGGGGGGTGGAGGGCAACACTCTGTCAATACGACTGATGCAGTGGATGGAGTATCGGTTGACAGGCTAACTGCGCTTCGGATGTCCTTTTGTACACAATCGCACCGGACTCTACTGGAGATCTGGAGTAAAAAGACCCAAGGATGCAGGCAAACCGACGAGACAGTGTGCTCGCACTCTGGCCCCGGGACACATCAATGCAAATTTGACCCCTAAGCAGCATCCTTGCGCGAAAAAGAAGGATAAGCTCGCCGAAAGGAAGGATGAGGCAATTGAAAGTTACCTCTTCTCATAAAAGTCTATATAGGGCAAGCCTCATTGTCATCGGTACTGACAAAAAGCCTGTAACGCAGAAGAACGGAGCCCCGCGCCAATCCGCCTGGGATAGTACCTCTACAGTGAATCTGATACAGGTAACACAGCGCACGCATGCATTTAGAAGCATAATGAGAAGCACAATGAATCATAATCCGCCTAGGATAGTGCCTCTACAATGAATCTGATGCAGGTAATACAGTGCGACCGTGCAGTTAGAAGCATAATGAGAACGTAATCACAGCTACTGAAATCGAACCAGTAAGTACAATTGTGGAATTAGTGGGCATGGCTACCGACTGCGATCCTGCCGTTCCACGTCCTCTACGAACATTCCCCACACAAAACGGCCTCGTCGTACATCCCCGTACACAATGCAAAAACAACCTGACGACTCCACCGACTGCCTTTGCAAAGGCCTCCGTTCTCACCACTGCCGTAACCCCCACGACTCACCCGATAGCTACCACAATAATCACCGGTGCGTATTCTTCCACTGTCCTTCCGAGACCACCGTTGCCGCGCCCACCAACCCCTATCGTCGCTGCCATAGCCCGTGCGGATGCGACTACCACTCCTCTAACCTCCACTACCGGTGAGATCAATTCCGACGTCCAGCCATCCAACACTAGGAGCGCGAAGTCAGTCCCAGCCTGTTATCATTCCGACCACACCTTTGCATCGCGCAATGGCCTGATTGTTCACTTTCGAATAAATCGCCCTGAAACAGGCGAACTACTGCCAGGGGTCTTGACATTCACCCTCTGCACCCTCCTAAATTGTCCACACCGGTCATGCACACACTGTGCACCAGGGCTGCCTGGCGTTTGCCCACTCGATTTTCAAACGCCCCAATTAAATCCAGGGCCGAGCCAGACGTGCCCTGGCCTAAGACGCTTTGACGAATTCCCTAACACACACTTGGGACTCCGCTTTCCCGGCGCCAAAGTCACTTTCTTCTGGCTGCCAACTCTTTTCAATCCCTTCCCTGGTTGTACTGTAAAGAATATACAGTTCTCCTAACTGACGTCCATCTTCTCTTTTCACTCGGGGTCGTGCGTGAATGTCGTGTTAGCCAAAGTCTCACTCTCGGCTTAGGCTTCTGCGATATTGGTGACGCCGACAGGATGTGAACATGCGACTGCGCAATCATCACGAATTCCCCTCCTGACTTCAACTGAATTTTCCTGCGTGATTTGATCTGACCACGATAAGGAAAATTCCGTTCCCGACATTTTGTCGTGAGGTGAACTAGATGCCATCAAACAACCTCAGCTCGTCGAATCCAGGTCATGATTCCGATTACATCCCACAGAGCAGTCCCAAAATCAATGTCAGAATTCGGTCGTCCTTCCCATTATCCACTATCTAACTCCTTATACTGCCATCGGTATCTCCTCACTCAGCCCTACAAACACCGACACGGCCAGCCAATCTATGTTCACTGAAAGACGGTTTACTATCAGTCTCTTCCCTCAAAGTTGGCAAAAACGCCTAATTCCCTTTATTGGAAACAATAAGCATCTTTGAAGGTTAGCAGGCAGTAAGGAGCCATTCCTTAGCACGCCGAAACGGTTTCACATATTGGTCTCCACAGAATCTTATATTGTTTGGATGTTCTGTTAGTTATTTAAGATTACATGTGGCGTACATTGTGGTCCATGATTGCACGAACTAAGGTGATTCACTTATTTCAAAGAAATTCTCTCATACACTTTACTCCGCACAGAATTAGCGAACAGGTCTACTGACAGCGTGCGGCCAAATCCGATTTAACAGACCACTCCCCAGTCCCGCGGGCCTTACCATGACTGGATTAACATATACGTCACTTTGTTGAGATGTGTGGAATTACTTCCGTGGCCACTTTTGGATATTTCATGACCGTGTGTTTGCAGGTAATAAAACTTTTCCCGGTCGCATGTGGTTTTGTAGCCCCGCCTGAAGTAAACAAACCCCAGTCACCTCTAATACGGGACCGGTGCTAATAGGGTTTTTTACAGGTGGAGACGGGGAACGCCCAGGCAACGAGGTTAAGTAGTTGTATGCAAAAGAAAAGCTATTGGGAGTACGTGGTTGTAATTTTAGTGGTTGAGAAATAGATACGCGAACCATAACCCACAATCATAAGCCCTGATCCTTAATCCCAACCGCTAGCTTCAAACTTTAACCCATAACCACACCCCCTAACCCCTTCCCATAACACCTAACCATAATTCCTAACCCTTAACCGCAACTCTAACAGTATTGTGTCAGTCAGGTGGGGCTACCAAATCACATCTTACCATTGCTCCAAAATTAAGCAGTTACTGCAAGAAAGTCAAGGTAAGCGTAAAGGAACACAGTTCGTTTTTTTGGAATCGCCATTTATCATATCTTCAAAATAAAAACAGGAAAACCAGACATTCAAGCTCATGTCGTTTCGTGCTGCACGGTATATCTATCACTGAATTATAAGGCCATTTATATGTTGTGCGGAGAATTATACAAGAGTTAAGGAGGGCCGAATTTACTGAATTACGCTGATGACAGTATGAAGTGGAAGTACAATCGTCGTTGTCGAAGATGTCTACTATGTGCTCTTCAACAAGGCAAATCAGAGACGGCGGCTTATGCTTGGATTAGTTTATAGTGATGGTAGACTTGCGCAGCATTAACCGCACTATTCCCCCTGGATCCGATGTCAAGACAGAGTCAAGAAAGCCAGAGGCGGTGGAGGGCGGAAGTGGATGGAACGGTCGAGCACGCATCTTGGCGTTCTACCACACACCCCCTGGTCCACACATCAAATGACCAGATTTTTGACCAACAACAAAAAGGTGGATGGCGCGGCCGAAGTCACATGTAGGCATGCCGTCCCACCTGGCTTGGTCCCAACGGTGTGGGAGTGCCATAAAGGCCACGTTTAGAAGGAGCCATTGCAGCCTGACTCTCAGACCACCAGTCAGCCATTTCACGCAAACGCACGCTAAACCGACTGAAAGTTCCGAGTCAGTTGACAAACTTCCAAGCCACGGCTTTTAGCCTATTGTGATAAATTAAAGCCCGTCAGCTTGTTTAAGTGAGGAAAATGCACTGAATCGTCGACCTCACTCTCTTTTTTCATTTTCAGGTCGCAGTCACTGTCCGAGCCGGTCAGTTGACTGGAGTGGGGAATGGGCGCGGTGGCTGACATATCTAGTGACCTTGTCTGCGCGCGCCACATGCACGACCTGATCCCTAAAAACAATTACCAGGATTTCACACAATGGGAGTGGGCGACATGCATCTCACATGCCTGAGAGTTCCAGAAGTCACGTTAAGAAGAAACTGTGCAGGTCTGGCTCTCAGCCCTCCAGTCTGGCACTCCGCACATATACATACACAACTGGAGAGACTGTGTGGACTGAGTTGGGGCGTCGGTCAGCAGGTCTGCAAGCCACAGCGATTGACGCGCAGTGGTAGTCTCAGACTCAGATTATACAGTACGTGAGCTATCTCATTAAACCTGATAACGGAAACTGAGATGATAATATCTGGACGTCTTAAACGTTGCGCATTTTGCTTGTTCATCCAGCCACTTCAGTGAAATGTCATTTTCTCGTGTATAAATTATGTTTTCGTAATTATATGAAGCAAAATGTTCATGAATTTTAGCGAAAATAGACACTACGATTATTTCGTGCAATTTCCTATGTTAATACTTGTCGTAGAGTTCTTTTGGGAGTCTAAATGTGTTTTCATTGAAAGGAGAGTAATTTACCTGCGAGAGTCTTAATTAACAAAAGTGGCTGGTCTTTGCAACTTATTTTTTTGTCCGATGCCAACAGTGGTAGTCAACTCGTTACACATGCAGCACAGAAGCGACATGAAGAAGCAGTCGAGGAGCACAGTCCCCACTTACGCGAATGTGCTTGTGTTGTGTGGTGATGGGTGCCTGGAGCACCAATCTGCACTCTCCGCATCCGCCTCCACTGTCCACATTGCCCCCGCACATTCACCCACGGCATGGCTCTATTCGGTCACATGCGT